AAGAGACAGGAGGAGAGGGAGAATGCACCCCCTAGTGGGGCCTGGTCATGCCCAAATCCCTTTTCCTCCGATTCTCACCCTGTCAGGATGTGAGAAACACACGGACATGTGCCTGACAGGTTTTTAAGCCACCGAGGTGCTAGGATTCAAACTGTGGTCAACTATGTAGGATCTGGCTCCTTTAACCACTAGGCCACATGGCCAGCCCTAGCTATTTTATATCTAATATTTGTTTTTTGGTCTTATATTCATGTTTTATGTTGCTAATATCTTTCTTAGAGTATTTATTAGGCTAATTTTAAGTTACTATGGATCATTTATTGTAAAGTATCTCCTTCTAGTAGACTGTCAGCATCATGTCGCTCCAGTGTCTTGTTACTCTATTATATGGGTCTATTTTGCCCTGAGCTATCAGCTTGTTTATTTATTTTTATTTATTTTATTTTGAGAGGTTTTTGCTATAGGGCTGACTCTACAGTTTGACTCTCAAACCTGGCAGCCTGAAAGACATACCAGGCATGTGTGTGTGTGTGTGTGTGTGTGTGCCCAAAATCCCAAGAGGAGAATGGAGGAGGAAAGAATGCAAAGAGGTCATCCCCCTGGGGAGTGATTTCTCTCTCCTTCTCTCTCTGGTGAGCTTATACACTATATGGGAGGAAAAATCTAAGAAAAAGCTGTTACTTGGTATATACCAGAAACCTTTGAAACTCAACAATAAGAAAACAATCCAACCCAGTGGGAGGCCAAAGACCTGGCATGATGTCTGCTGCTGCGCAGTCACTGGGTATACCATTAAGCCCAGAGTGAGGCAGGCTAGGAGAATCAGAGCCTGGGCCCCAGATCTCCTCTCCCTGATGACAGAAGCCTGAGCCCGTTCCTGTGAGTCGGCTTTATGGTTTCTGCAGAACTAGACAGCTGATTCTCATTGACAAGTTCAAATGTGTTTATAATTAGTCCTCAAATTGCTATATTATAGGCAAGGAGTAAGGGGATGAAGTGGTAGGAAAAGACTGGGATGGGCTGTAAGCATTTACAGATACTTGGTACTGCCTATGAACCAGGCCACTGTCGGAGTTAAGGTGACCCCATACCAGGTTGCTTAGGGGAAAACTGTTCTATTCTTTCTCTGTTACTGAAACTTATTTTGTTTTGAGTTTTGTTTTATTTTGAGTTTGTTGTAAGAGTGTGTTCACCAGAGACAAAAAGGGAAAAGGAAAGTGAGAAATCACCTCCCACTGGGGACAGTCACATCGTAATCCCTTCGTCATTCCCTACTTGGGATTTTGGCATGGAGGCACGCATGTGATTTTTTAAGTCATGGAGTCTAGGACTCCAATCTGGAAGTCAGCCGTATGGGACGCAGTGCCTTAACCTCCATGCCACCACCAACTGGTCCATTTCCAGTATTTTTTTAAGCCAAAGAAATGGCTACAGGCCGAACACTGCCATCTTCGATATTTGAATGGTAAGACAAATTGAGCATAATTATGTGCTAAGCAAATGATATACATTTTTTAGAATTCTTTGATACTTAGTTTTTTTATCTTTTTTTTTTGTTTTGTACTCCTCTACAGACAAAAAATAGAATCTGAAATTTGTAAGGGAGCCATCAACAAATTTCATTTTAATATTAAAGAACAACTCATCAAAACAGTAAGTTCACAGACATAAATTTGTCAGCCTAAATTTTGCTTCAACCAAATCCTGAGGCAGCAGACTGCTGTCTTAGAAACATTTGCATTTGCTAGCAGTATGGTAATAAACTCATTAGAACTACCCATATTTCTCACTCAGAAATATTTTTAAAGGAAACCGATATGTGAAACTCATTAATTATTATTTGGAAAATGCATGCAAATATGTATGTTTTTGCTTTGTATAGCTTAAAGAAGTCCAGATGTTGAAAAATCTGAAAAGGAAGAATGCTAAGGTAAATAATCTTTGTGATTAGCGTCAAATGGTCATACACAATACTAACATATATAAAGATTTGACTCCGCATATTATAACCCTTAATGTCCCAAAGTTAGCCTAAAATTGGCTATCAGGCCCCCAAATAACCACTTAAATGTATTAAATCATGTATATTTATTGTTTTTGTGGCTGTCAAAAGCAAAACTTGTAGAATAAAGATCTGTCCCAGATAACAAAGGGCAGACTGGAGGAAGGACTTGGTTAGGGGTCAGGAGCTCTCATTTCTAGGCCTGGTCCTGCTAATTCGAAGTTGCACCACCTGGTAAAGTGCACACCACAGGTGTGAGATGGGAAGCAACCAGGAAACACTAGACCCCCCTTTCCCATCTGCAAATGGTTGAGCCCTGTGACGGCAGACATTCTAGCCCTGAATTTGCATGTACCAAGGGATGGAAGGCCAGTTCCCCCTCTGCATTTCTAACAGAAGTGGACATTTTCCTTCCTGTGATTACAAGCCTTGTGTTTTATTTTTCCATTTTAATCTCTTAGTGGTCATTTCTGCCTTGCTTATAAACAAGTGGGACTATTAGGCAGTTACTAAAATATTAGACTGAGATAATGAATTTTATTATATTGGAATGTTCTTTATAAAATACTAGGTAGTTTTAGGTCTCTCCCAGGTCTGTAAAATTCTTGCTGTAGGAGTTCCTCTCTATAAGCTATCAAATAAGAAGTGAGTAAATAAATGAATTAAGAGCTGACTTTGGAAAATGGCAAGATGCTGTTCATTTCAGAGCACTTTGTAAAAGTATATGGTTTAATAAAAACTTTTGATCTTTTTTTAAAAAGTAGAGTGGATCATAACACTCTCAGGCTTCAGTCTTCCTATTGCACCTAGGTAAAATCTAACATCCTTGGTTTACAGGTTAGAGTCTAGTAAAGATCTGGCCCCTTTGTCTTTGGGATCATCTGAAACAGATACCTCTTCTTTTTTATTTTTTAAAGAGAGGTTTTTGCTATAGGGCGCATGCACTCACCAAACAAACAGAGACAGAAAGCGAGAAATCACCCTCCAGGGGGGATGGCCATGCCACAATTCCTTTTCCTCCATTCTCTTGGGATCTTGGGCACACATGCACATGTGCCTGGCTATGTCTGGGACTCGAACCATGGTCAGCTACATGGGAGTCCAGCGACATAGCCATTATGCCAACTGCTGGTCCCAATACCTCCTGTTTTTAAAGTTCCCTTTTAAAGATCTTTATTGCATATACCCCCCAGTTATAATTACATACTGTTTATAGGTAATGTCTGTCCTCTATGAGACCAAAGTTTCATGATGGTAAAAAATGGGTCTGGGTGGTTTCCCAACATAGTAATAACTGGCAGGATACCTGGCAGTGCTCAAACATTTACAAAATTAACGAATTATTGTTGTGCTTAGATTATTTCAGATATTGAAAAGAAAAGGCAGCGTTTGGTTGAAGTCCAGGATGAACTGCTCCGGTAAGATGGTATCCCGTTCTGTTTGAGAACTCACCCAGAAGGGGAGCATTACGTTGTCCCTTGGGCGAGTAATCCTCGCTGCTGTGTCGTGATACAGCCGAGCTACCTTTGATCTCGGATGCTCAGTGAAGGTGGGTCCTGCAGAGCTGAGCTACCTCTGATCTCGGATGCTCAGTGAAGGTGGGTCCTGCAGAACCCTTAGCTTTATATATTAACTTACTAATCATCCTAAACCTGTGAGGTAGGTTATTATAGCCATTTCTAATAAGGCTCTACTTTGTTAACACTTGTCATCAACGTGAAACCACTCAGACACACTCAAGGCTGGCTTCCTTTTGTTTCTTTTCTAGATATAATTTTAAAAGTTGAAAAGTATATTCTAAAAATGCGTAGTAGAAGAAAGTGTGTTTATCATTACTTTAACTTTACATATGAAAAACCCAGGGTACAAGGAGAGATAACCTACCCACATCGCACCCCTAGGAATTGGAGGGGTCGAGGCGGCCATCAGCCGACTGACTCCAAACCCAGAGCATGTTTTTAGATCTTTATTTGGCAAAATGAAAAACTGGCAGCCTCTCTCCCTTATTTTAAAATCGGTCCATAAAACCCAAGTTACCACTTCTTGTGTTCTAGATGTAGAAACCAAGCCACTGAGAAATGAAGCAGTTTGTCGAAGGTCACTTTCTCACCCAAGCACTATGATAGTTTCTTCACCGCTCTGATTTGACGAAGTGGGGATAAGGGACAGCTTTCTGCCCCTGGTTTCCCTGTGAGCCACCAGCACTGGCTACACCTGCCCGAGGCTTTACAATGTTAGCCAAGTATACTGAGCAGCAGTCCCCAAGCCTTAAATGACAACGAATTTTGGCACATACAGGTCACAGTATTTGGTGGACAGCACAGTTAATGCCTCATTGCACTTTGCATTCAGAGGTTTTTTCCCTAC